CGGTTTGTTATCCTAGCGGAATTTGTCGTGTTCGATAATGAAGTTCAAAAGACAAATTAAGTTAGACCAAATCGAGGTGACGTTTTGTAAATGAACGTTACCACAACAGGATCAAGCAAATGGAAGGAATATATTTAGATATTATACTAAGAAATAGTTTCAATAATCTACATGCTTTATGACTTTGTTCTAGACATACTCTAGGCTTGAATCAAGATAAATCCATACGATTGAAAAATGACAAAACTACTGTAGGCTGCACTGCATCCACTAGAGCATGAAGTCGCGAGCTCCACTGTCGAAGTAGACGATTAAACGCTACGTCGTTTTCACAGTAGATTATCAGTAAACCATAAGTTTAACTAACCTAACCTAACCTTTTTGACTGATAATCATTGATAAGTGTTCTACCTAATTATTTTCGGCCAGTGAGAACGTCTTGCAAGTAGATAATCGAAGTGACGGCGTCGCTATTGGACACGCTGGCACCATCTGAGAAACAAATAATTGCAGTTTCTCTATGCTTACAAAAACTGTAACTGAAAAATAAACCTAATCTATCTCAAGCCTGTGTATTGTCGATAACTGAGGATCATATTCTTCAGGCTATCGTCGAGCGCTATATACTCGATATAAATATCCCGTAATACGATAGTAACGATTCAGATTAAATGATGATCAATTATTATTGAAGATATTCTCGAGGATACGGCACTCAGTGGACCAGCAGCCTTCATTAGCCTCGTTGGCGCGATTGAGCTTTCTGACTGATGTTCAGTTCAGTCTGATCATCGCCTTATGACGATAACCAATCGTCGACTGCTTGTTGCTAGAGCCAGATAAACTCTTGTTAGCAGGGCTCGCTAACTGAGAGCAGACTGAGGTGAGAGAAGACCGAGTGTTTACACTGTGAGAAAGGCACGACATTGACTTTACTTCAGTCAGCCACTAGAAAAATCGAGACGGATTTACTCTGTCCATAGCTGCATAATACCGAATAGGATTAACGAAAGCGTTCACACTTCAGTCAGCCCACAATTGGCTGCTATTTTGCCTTAACCTGGGTGACCCGTGATTGACGATGCCAGCAATTCGATCTGCATACAAGCCAAAATATTTTATTATTTTATAATAAAAGCAACCAGACTATTTGTAGATAAATCTTCTCACATACCTCACTTTCAGGTCAGAATGCTTCCAGCGCAAATAACCTGCTTTCATATATACATAAAAACAAAACAAGTTCAAGACAGCCAATATATCTCGTATATAAATCATTTTGTTTAAGATTTAACTTTAAAGATAGCACTTGTATTATCCACCGAAAGCAATCTAACGGTAGCGTCGACTGAAGTCGGCCTGAGGTAGTTCCGCTCGATTCGTGTAGAACGATTGTCCAGTTTATCTTGCTGAAGTATTGAGCTGTGTACATGACACTCGACGAAAAATGTTTGACGAAGACCTTCATCACACATGAAGACGAAATAATCGTTTGACGCCATTTTCCTCTGACAGACAAGCGTATAATAAGCAGTGTGATCAGCGTAGACGGAAACAAGTACGTTTCTATTTAGGTAGTTTTTATCAGATCGAAATTAGAACAATCAATGGCTATACCGAGTGAATTAGATTTCGTACGTTACAGATTTATCGATCAGGCCCGTTTTTTCAGGGATATCTAAACCTTGCTTGCCCTAAACAAGCTAAGTCATTAGGAAAATTCCGTGTCCGACTCTTATCTTTATTAAAATTTTTTACTTCACAACACATATTAGATTACTTATTGAAGGCTGCAAACCTCATCTTACTAAGCGGTCGAGCTGACAATGTTACCAGCAGGCGCGCATTGAAAGACTCCAACTGTTTGATGAAGCGTGACTTATTGAAAGATATTTTGCCGTTTGTGTGGAATTATAATGGCAGATTTTTTGATAACACCCCTGAGCCACCGGTAGCAGGCGTAGCGATGTCCACATGCACCTGCATCGTTACCAGATATCGGTATCGTTCTTTGTTAACGTTTCCAGTTGATTTGGTGACTTTTCTAGCTCTTTTCGATTTCCCTGTGTTCTGCAGTGTATCTACTTACATCAGCAAACAAATGATCCACGCTTAATCCGCTGGCTTTATCGAATGGTTCGAGTCATCATAACCGGCCCGAGCTTAATGTGAAAACGCCGATCGATCTCTAATTCGACGCATACACAAAGATGCGCATGTATAAATAAATGCTCGTACATATCAAAGCTAGCAAAATTCAATATTTCTACTCTCTGATATAGCAATATTAATCCATATCTGATCTATACATATAACATTTTTGCCCCGCAAACAAACGCGAGCATTATAGGTTAGACTGTTTCTTCACGATTTGATTACACAGCAGACGGATTTACCATCGCACCGAAGTGATGTCGATACTTCGGTCATCGCAATGCGACGCCTGCCACTGGGAGTACAGCTAATGAAAACGATCGTCTTGATCGTCGATCTTAGTACTGTATAGAAGTGTAGAGCCAGCATTAGTCAAACAGGTACGTCTGATCGTTGTGCCGCATGCAACAAAATGCCAACTTTTCCACGGCCAGCGGTAGCTTCCTTCCCCGTTAGCCGAGAAGCACGCTTGCAGTCATCAAAGTTAGCGCCGCCATATTCGACGCGAATCCACTCTGTGCACGACGATGCTTACTGCACCGCGGGGCTACTGCAGCGCCGCACAGGCCAGCACCCTCTGGTTGAATTCGATTTCTCGTCATCTCGATAAACACAAGATACTGTCCCCGTTTGGCCCTTGCTTACCTATTCGATTGCACGTTTAAAATCGCTTGATGACACCGGCCGTCCGAGCCAGCGGCGCTTCGACGGCGGAAAAAGGACACTTCCATTTGTTTGTTCGTCGTCAACCGACTTGCCGATTTTCTCGCCGTGGCCGCCGCTGGTTTCCAACAGAAGCCAACGGCAACAATTACCGGCAACGAAAGAAAGAGTGCCGAAGGTTCAAAAGCGTAACTCCTTAGTGGAGCGGGCGCGCGAAGAAAAACTTCTGAGAAATGAGACATTTCTTCAATTCGCTGATCTTGCTCCTGCTAACGGTGCCTTTTTGGTCATATAGCTAATGGTACAAGATGTCGAGGACGATGATAGGTTTTGTTAGAGGGCTACATGAAGGGCTTGTCAACGGATCAGGTGCGCGACCAATGAGCGGCTGAAGCAGCGGAACGCGGCAGTTCGTCGGTTTAGGAGATGCTTTAGATTTTACGCCTGCTTGCTATAGCTGGATGTCAAACAATTAGTTTTTATTTCGGTACGATCCGTTGTACCTGTGCTTTCGAAAAACTTTTTATATACAAAGCAGTGTATATAAACTGGTGCACAGTGACAATAACCAGGGCTAGGATGAATTTCTCTTGCTGCAGTTCTGCTCAGTTATTTCAACGGCTTTACCTAAGTAGATTACTTTGGCAATAGAGAGGTGATTACTCTCGCTAGCAAATGTATCTGCCTATAAACCTGAAAAGCGCCAGTGAAGTTTACTTCAAGGAACGAGAGTTCGCTTCAGGCTGGAGGCCGACCGTCCAATGCAACTGTCGTTAACTCTGACTAAAGACGAAGCAGTACTAGCGTTATAGTCCCCCACATAGACGTAAAAAAAACAATCAATCATATACAAGGACATATGTGAGCTATTAATAAGCCCATTGATGGAAGTAATTTTCATGTCAACGACGACTTCCAACATAAGCAGGTACACTCCCTCTAATATAATGTGTATTTCGCTGCGAGTTTACATAATGTAATCCTACTTTAGCCCTGTATACATCCATATTCGTGACTATACCATGCTTGTTTTAAACTGTACGTCATGCTTACTTAAAACGCTTGCTTATGCACGATTTAGATTACTTTGGTTCAATGAGCTTTTCTAGCTAGAGATTCATCCCAGAAACAATTCCCCCAACTCACCACCATCCACGCGTGCGTGTTCAACTTGATCAGCATACTGCATGTATACCGAACTATATAGCGACTATTTCGCCAATTCATACGTTTGGACGACGGGTTGCGAAGAGAACGTTCCCCCGCCGATCCGGGCACCACTGCTATACAGCCACCTGTCAAAGCTTTCCACTCCTGAATGGGTGCGCTTTGTCTCATATTGCTAGTTTGGCATCGACCTATCAGGCTCTCGTCATTTAAATCGACGCCGATGGCAACGGCAAGTATAGGGCCTGCGAGTCAGACTCCTCCCACGGGGCGGAGCTTGACGCGGCAGACCGATGCTCACTGACCATTACTTCAAAACCAACGGTCATCGAGAAGTCAGAAATAACATCGAGAAGCAGCGACGGTAGCAGCTGTCGGTGCGCTGTTGGAAGCGGCCCGTGATAGAGAAATCAGAGAGGGCGGCAACACTCTTCGACCACGCTCACCTTACAAGTACAAGCTCAGCCTGACCAATGCACGCTGACCTAATCAATTCGTACGAGGAAGTAATGATAATTATGGCAGTGATGCTGGGACGGGTGCCACATCTTATTATCGAAGAACTTCTCGTCTCTTCTAACTCTCGGTACTCCCTAAATAAAATTGCAAACACCCTTATGACTTGTGGTTATCAGTATTTAACTTCCCAATCTGACATGAATGGAGCTGCTACGCAGCCGAACGTACGCACGTCACGGCACCCGTAGTAACAGAGTTCAAAGCGATCCCACAACCGGAAGCTATAGGCCAGTTGGTGCCGACGATCGGCTCCAAAAAATACATTTTGTATTAGGTATGCAACAAAAGTAGCAAGCAACGAGTCGCCTTTGTATTAGATAAAGGCAAAGTTCTCCTATACGTAAATCCGTCAAAATTCATGTGGTGAATTTTGACGGATTTACGTCAAGTTGATTTCGCAGGTCGATCGAAAAGCCTATCTTGTAGCTTCGCTAGCGTCAGTATATGCTTCAAATAAGAACAACGTATTAACGTGTGTACGAAGTTTATTTGTGAATTTGACGTGCACAAGAAGGTTGAACAGCATACATTGTATGTACAGAGGATATGGGAACGATTTCTCCTTTCATTGTATTGGTACTAATAATAATATAGCTAGCATTTGGTTTTGACTAGACTCAAGCGAATACTTCATGGTTTTATTTATTTAGCAATAGATCAGGATTGTTTGTGCAAAAACTCCTTCTTCAAATGTCTAATAACCAGTATTGGCACAACTGGGCATTGTATATATATATATGTGCGGGAAAACTACAATTGTGTTTTGTTATTTTTATTATTATTGTTATGTAATTATAAGTCTTCACTGATTGGACACTGGTCTTCTGATGCCACTACGTAGAGCCTCGTTACTATAGCATATTATCACTGTTATGGTAGAACATGTATTTACAAGGTGTAAAATACGATCCTATTTATAATGCAGTCATATCTAAACATTTAAATACCATAAGCAAATAGGGGGAAAGGTAAAGGAAGCCCGTAGATGGATGCCACTTTTTCGACGGAAGATTAGGGATCCCCTCCCCCCCCCCTCCCAAATAGGAAAGTGGGAAATAAAAGAAAAAGAAGAAACGGGAGAAGCACCCCACATTTTTCAACTACCACATAATAAAGAATTGAATATATGAAATCAGCTGAGATTATATTGAGTCGTCCTAGCTAACTAGGCAGCGTAAAAACCATAGGAGATGCGATGGTTTCGTTTCGAGATCTGTTCGATTCACAAGAGTAACTTTATTATGCTGTTGCCACGCTTTCGCGTGTTACACAGCCTTCAACTACTACTGAGAGATACGAAGATACTGGGTATTGACGGGTTATCGGTAAGCGGCTATATATTTGCAGCAAGTAGCTATCGACTTAAGTGCAGTCGATGCTGCTAGCGCACTCCTTCGATATTCTTTTCGTATCTATTTATCATTAAGTTAGTCTACCTTAATTGGGCTCGCTGGCCGACTAAGGTCGTCATTGTTGTTATCGGCATTGCTTTCTTCCTCAGTGGCGTTTTGCTGAGCCGGCTTGGTAAACGCTGAGAAGTGATGCAGCGCCGGTGCCATACTGTCCCTTAGATGGGCCGATGAGGATGCGGTCGAGTTTCCTATCAGAGATTGTAGGCCTGAGGCGACAGCTCCTCGGCCGGCAGCCTGTGCACTCAATCGCATCAGGACATTGTTGATCGAGAATGGGTGATTCAAGCCGCTACCATTGTTGAGGTGACCTGTAGGCGGCGGCGGAGGCGATGGAGGCGCAGGAGAATCTGCGAGCGGCGATTCTCCACCTTTATGCCCCTGGGGGGTCGAGGCCCCGCCTAACGAGTTCATTCGCTGATGACGACGCCATTTTGCTCGCCGGTTCGAGAACCACACCTGAACACGGGCTTCCGAAAGGCCAGTTTTCGCAGCTAGCCGCTCTCGTGTATCGATGCAAGGGTAGTGTGTCTTATCAAATTCCTCCTCAAGCACCTCAAGTTGTTCGGGGCTAAATGTGGTTCGGTTCCGTCGAAATTTCGGTCGATCAGCATCGTCTGATTCGCCGTTAGACTCGTCGCCGCTGCCGCGCTCACCTTGATCTAGTCCAGGGTTGCCCGAGTGGTCTCGGCCGGAAAGACCTTGGCCACCATGCGGTTGAAAGGGCAGAAAGGCAGGAGACCAAATATGCGGCGGGGGTGGGGGGCTGCTCGAGCTGCCTCGGCCTGACTGGACCTGTCCAGCTAAGCTCTTCGTACCAGCTTGCGTCTGCGCCAATGCCCCCAAGGGCATTCCGCCTACACCCATACCAAGGGCCGCGACACCCCCAACACCCCCGACGCCATAACCGGCCGCACGAGCAAACTCAGCTGCTGCTCGTTCCGCAGCCCTATTACGCAAGATCCGGTTGATTGAACTTACAGACGGCGCAGTGCTATTCGTACATACACCTGCAACAGAAAATATGATACTATAAGTATGCTTAACCTTTCGTTACTTCAATTTTCACTTCCTGCACGTTAATACTACAACAAAGGTCTACCATTTGGTTCGCTTGTGCAGCAAGCGGTTTCACGTGGTCATCTCTGTCAACAACAACAACTACGATTGCTTTTCTCTACGCTGTTGTATGAGATCCACATATGGTAGGTAAAAGCTGAGTTATTGACAGATTTTCGTGCGTATATATACGGTTCACATGCTATGATCACGGCAAATCTTTGAGGCACCCAAAAGCTCGGTTATCCATCCACATCGGTGGATTTGTTGATCCGAGCAAGTTCGAGCAGATGACATTTCTCGTACTTGTCGTCTTCAGCTTCGCCAGTCCTCGAACGCTTCTAATAGATGACGCATTCATTGTTCATTGACGTAACTAACACGGCGCGATGCCGTGATATTTAAACGAGACGTCTGGTCCTTTACCACTACTCCATTGACTGCTTTAGCCCTTCTCAGTGGCGCTAGTACTACAGATAGTGCTGTCCCTGGTCTTCATGTCATGACGCCAATGGTACAGTCGTTAGCTGGCGAAGCGACACGGTCCAGTGGCGTCACATGAAGTCGGGCGTCAACCGTCATCATGTGAATTACCCGACTAACAGGAGCTGGCATTTGAGCGTCAGAATCAATAAACGTGAATGAAGACGCCGAGTTAAGGAGGCGGTTATGACGAAAAGATCAAATAGGGGCTGTAGGCTTCAGATCGCAGACTGCGGGTCGCTGCAAAGGACTACAGACTAAGTGGTGTGCGAGCGAAGTAGGATACGAAAACCAATTTTTTTTTATTTGGACACTGGCCAACCCATTGTTGTCCTTCGAGAAAGCTGCTGCGCCACCGTTTTCCGCTTACTCTAACAGTATCTACGTAGACCGGATGGATACGTATTAGTGGAGGAGAACCTCAGCCAGCGATGAGCTTCATTCAACCAGCACTTCGTTTGCTGGACCTTTTTGCTGGCCAACTTTGGTGGTCATGATGACTTCGCCGTGGACGCACCGTCTTGCCGATCATGCAGTGACACCGCGATGAGTTCCGCTGCTCATAGGACCGCTCAAAAGTTGTGCCTCTTACTCAATCCCGCTCAGATTTTCGCCAACACGATCAAGCAAACGAGGAAGACGATTCCAATACTCACTTGACAATGATTCGACCCGTAATGGTGAACATAGCAATTTCAGTTCTCGTTTACAATATGTGGTGATCGCGAGTAGCCCAAGTAATATAAAAACAATTGCGAAGCTCAAAAGGAATTATTTTAAGGACTGAGTATGGGGTTTATAGGCTTACCCATATCGTAAAATGCACCCGCCATTCGGGCCTCACAACGTTATATATAATATGGATCTAGATAGAAAAAAGTCTTGATTTATTATAAAAAGGCTTTATTAAAACCATTCAATCGTATTAAACCCATGAAGCGCACACGGCTACTACACAGATCATAAGAGAATCTGAAAGACCATGAACTCGGATGTCCTTCTCCGTCAATGTGTCCATTCGAAGCGGCAAAAATCGAAGCTCAAATGATGGCTCTCTGCTATCCATCTGCAATTGTTTTGACTACCTGTTCAACAACGAACGTATGTACAACGACTCAGAGATCATCGACAGAGCATAACTTCTAGCTAGAAAATTATCTTCGTTAGTATTTGATTACTGAACAAATATTCTGCACGTACATACATTATAAGCTAACAGTTCCTGCCAGTTGTACACCGTCTATTCCACTTGCTGTCTTCAAGCAGTGGCACCGTTTAAATTCGCTGCCAGTGAATGGATGTCTGCGTGTGTCACTATCGCTTTATTAAATACTAACAACAAATGGGCGTGTGACTCCACATAAATGATTTGACGGCCGAACGAAATCTGTTACAAATGTGTAGTTAATAAATGAGGTATGAATGGGGTTCTGAAATGAGCCCCATTCATGTTTCGAATCCGTCGGCTTTGGCGTGCTATCAATAATTGGATCAAGCGTGAAATTTTGTTTAGTAAATCAGGGCACTATAGGAATACCGAATAGCCATATTGCTATAGTCAGATGCTAACTGAGATCTTCTCGTTTAGAATGTCTTTTGTTTTTACTATATGTGCACTCAATGTCGCATCTACGAATCTGCGCTACTGAAAGACGTTAAATATAGAACAATAACCAGTATGGTTGGATTCAAATGGAGCTTACAAATAAAACTTGAACCTAGTTGATCTCAACACACGTTGCTCTTGTAAATCATTGTTCAGTGTTTCAGCCAGCCCTAGACAGAAGCTATTTTATAAAGCTAAAGCTTTTTATTACTAAGACGTACCATCGGCAATCAGTCGCTCTCGGATTTCCCAGGCGAATATAGTCGGATTCTCCCTCTTGTACGACTCAATTTTGGCAACCACCTGCGGGGTGGCCACTTTCGGCTTTGAGCCGCCAATTACCCCTCGGTGTCCCGCGGCTCCCAAACTGCCTCCAACACCTGGCACCCCATCGATTCCAGCGCTAGTAACGGGAGCGCCTGATAATGGTGACCCTATTAATGGTTGAAAAATCCGTTCGTTGCAATTAGAATCTTTATTAAAACACTTTTCCTACATAAATTTGACTGTGTAAAAGCAGGAAGTAAATATCAAGTTAGCATGTGCGACTAGGTGATGATCTCGGCAACATGGGTTATTGCAAAGCTGTCCCCGGTAGCCCACCCTGAGTTGTGGGGGAATATCTTCAGAACGCATTCATTACTGTTAACACTGTAACCGATTGACATCCATTAGTCGCCATGCGGAACTGGGTCAAGAAAGGTCTCTAAAAGTACGAATCACCAAAGTGGCGTTTAGTGCATAGAGGTAGTGAACGCTTACTTTGTTGCTCAAGCAATAGTTTTCCAACATGCAGGCTCGGATTGTGTTGTGCCTGAAGAAGTCGCGCAAGGTCATGGGGCGGCCGTAGGGCTGTTAGCTGTGAAAGGTCTACCGGAACACCTAGTCCTGGTAGGGAGAACGCAGGCCACAACGATGAGGGAACTCCTAAAAGTCAGTGAGAAACAAACAGAAGTACAGCGAGACCAAATATAAAATCGTCATACTTTATCTATCAGTCAGTTGTTCAGTCGGTTTCATTGTACGCGCCAAACACGTGCGCACGACAGAAACGATCTATAGTAAAATAGCACGATTTGACTTTTCACTCCTGCCATTTTTTCATTGGCCCCTATGTAAAATTCATATCAGATTATGGGTTACATACAGGCGTACACAGTAGATTACTAGAATAAAATGGGAGACTAGGAGAATTAAAATAGCTAGAGATGAAACGGCCAACATCCGTCAACGGGGTCGATACATGGCTGCAGTTGTCCAAACGACAATGTCGCGATAATGGCAAGATATACTATGATCCAGCTATCAATTATGATAGTGTTTAATTGGGCTGAAATTATGCGGACACCTCGCAGAGGTCCTTGGAAGAGTATACAGCACGAAGTTTCTCCGTGCTATTTACTCGAGTTTAGACGGAATCAGACGACCGAAAGGCAACAACTTCGCTTATTGACGGTTCGTTTTCCGAAAAAACGTACATTTTCGGAGAGACGTAGATTCTGTACGCAGCCGTTATTTCGTCGTCGACTAAGGATTGAATCTACGAAAGAAACATAACAAAAAGTTGTATATTTGAACAGTTACATGTCACGATTCGGCCAAATAGTCCGGTATACCAACGATAATAGCTACGACTAATGTTTATTAAGTATTTGCAAATCTTATCAGGGCTTAAGGCTTTAAAGCGAAGTGGCAGTAGCTAACTAACGCAGGGGTGCACGACTTAACCTCGACAACGGCGGAAAACGCTTGTAGTACGCTTACCGCTGACATCTCTTCTGTCAATCTCAGGTAATTTTTTATATTTATTATCGTAATCAGGTAGATAGGTTGGTAGAGGGGACAAACGAGCGCCGCATGCTACATTCGTTAAACCAAAATAGGGTACGACAACAACACCTGGTCCAGCTGGCGACGACGCAGACGCCTTAAAAGCACGAGATTATAAGGAAAGAGAAAACAATATGATATAAAATACGATACTGATGTAGAATGAAAAAGAAACTGTTGGAAAGCTTCGAGTTCTTTGTTGGCAGCAAGTGCGCTTCGCTTAAATGTTTGTTCGTTTTACGCGGAATCTAATCCAATATCTGCGGCCCTTATTAGATCAGCGGCCGATACACAACAACGATAGCGGCGATATCGTTAAAGTCTTCAACGTCACTTTTATCGCAAAGGATAAATCGTTTATACAGCGAACCGCCACGCATCGATGTGCGTTAGCGCACACGGAACCTTATTTGCTACTCTTCTTGTCGCCGTCGGGGGCAACAACAAAATTCGAAAATAGGTGGAACATCGTAGACGACAACAGGGGAACTACAGTATACTACTTGGAATTGAGCTTCCAACTCAATGCAAATACGCAAAGAATAAATTATCTCGCACGCCTCGTTCCCGACAACGGTACACCGAATGTGTGATGTTCGCTACTAAAAAAAAACGCAAGAACAAAAACCAACATCGGGGTTTTTTAAGCCGAGTGAACACAGGGACATCATCCACTTGCATACGCACCTGTTTGTATATGACGTCTAATCATTTGGACTGAAATATTGCGGTCGAAATGGTAACTTATTTAAATTTCTGTGTTTTTTCTGCATTTTTCTGGTTGATTTTTTTCAGACGGCTGCCGTCAAAACACGTATATGCATCTCTTCAGAGCCCATTCGTCGTTAGTGAAAACCGGACTTCACAGACTGGGCAAGTTTGCGTTGTGACTTCAAACCTCATCTAATTGTTTTTCCGGTCGCGATCGATGCTAGAGGGCTTAAGTTTTCTCCTCTGCGATAATTTTCTCATCATCGATAATCCGTAATGTCATCATCTCAATCAATCATTCGATTTCCAGGTTAAGCCGCCAATCGATTCCTATAAGTATCAACTTAACGAATCTCAGGCCATATACAAATATAAAATACCCGCGCACTTTATGTGAAACCGGGGAAGTTTAATAATACTTTTTGTATTCAAAAAGCAAATAGCATAGGGTATCTGAAAAAATTACTTTATTTGAAACATGATGCAGGATTGCCATCGTCTATCGACCACTTGGGCTTCTATTGAACGGTGCTATGTTTGTGGGTCGATGGGTCGGCTATTTGCGGTCATCACATAAACGTTATTTTCACAGTTGAGCATCGAACTCATCTGACGAAAACCGACACAGCAAAGCACAGATGAAATATAGATGACGATGCATTTACTTAGTAAATCGACAGCACAACTATGTTCGCTAGATAAATAATTTTTTTCTTACCTTTACTGCCTCTATCGACTGCTGCACAAAACTACAAGTTCAGATTCGCATGGCCGAGGCTGCCCGATTCTCAAAAGATCGCTAGGGTTTAACTCGATTCCGATTCCCAGCCGAGTCAGCCAGTCAAGGACCAATAAAGAAATAATGTCCACGATTCAATTTTTAGACACGACGAGCTAGACCAACGAAGTAAGGCAGCGAATCAACCAGAAAAAAAATAATGTAAACGTAAACAAACAACAGCAAACGCAGCGATCGCAATAAGCGATTTCGCTGCCACCATTCTATCTATAATCTTGTTGATCCTCGACATTTGATCTACAATTGGTCACATTTTTCTCACAGCTCCCTCCCCCCCCCCCCTACCCCCCGGCCCGGTAACATTTTACCTGCTTCGTTCTAAATAATTCCGTTCCAATCTATTCTACCCAGCCCGTTATTTTCCGGACAGGGGTACGCGGCAACGCCGAACGGCTAGCTGGCCGGCCAATGTACCGCAGTGACTCTGTAAAGTCGCCGGATAAAAATGGTTACAACAGCAGTAGCAATAGCAACTGAACTTTGTCATCGTTTGTCCGCCTGCTGTTTAATTTGAGTACCTTAACTATCACCATGTGCGTTCGCCGGCAGTCCGAAACGATCAGCCGGTCAGCCAAGTAAACATCACTGAGGCATTTTTGAAGACCGCTTTCATTTAAACACTGTCCCTACAAGCCTATACAGCGGCCTAGCTGGGGTCGATTTCGCTGGCATTAATACCATGTGGATAACCGCTAAGGTGTTGTAAAGGATGCTGATGATGGTGGTTACATTATCCATTAAACTTAATTAACAGACAAGCAACAACTGTGGCCGCAGTGGGGGCCATGGACGCTGCAGCGGAGAAGAGCCTGATGGGGCAAGTGGGCTTGCGGACGTCGGCACGTTCGATCGGCCACCCAAAGCAACAAAATGGACGACATTTCATAGACATTGAGGACCAATTTTTGTTGCCGAGTGACGTGGTCGGGGGAGCGGCCCACAAACCGACGGCAGAACGCAAGTAGACAGAAATGACGGTTGCATCAGTGGCGTCGGCAACGAAGGGTGTATCGACACTACTACGGCAACCTCGGTTCCCACGATGAGTCGAAAACGGTCGCTTCGATGGGGATCACAGCTGAAGTCGTAGCAGCGGTAGCAGTAGCCGATAACGAAGCAGAAACAGAAACTGAAGAAAAATGAAGGACAAGACGTGCAATGACAACGAGAACAGAGACGACGACGGCGGCGGCGGCGGCGTCGACGTTGAACGAGAAAACAACGCTGGCCGCAACAAAGTCGCACTGACAAAGACGTAAGGAGCACAACAGAGCAAATTCGCTATCCCAAATGTATTCGAATCCCGCTTTTGCTGCTGACAGGTGATCGTAGTACGACTACCAGCGTGAGTAGGTGCTCTGTCCTCCTTAAGCTTCTACATGCAGCTTGTCCTTTTTTTACTTAAACCAGCAAACGTAAATTGCAGTAATAATAATACAAGGCACTATTTTTGTTTACTGATGCTCACACTAGGTATTCGTATATACATTCGTATTTTCTGCGAACACATGTTGAAAGCTATGGAAGTATGGTGATTATCCTCGAGTTGTGTCGGCACAACAGATATATGGCTGTCAGCAGTCCATATTCAGAAGTTTGGCTTTTCGATGCATACTTTTGAATCGTAACTTCGTTTTGGCCGCTTCAAAATACGATTATAGAGTCATACACATATATGTGGCACTTCAGCTGAAGATCGCACGAGCATTTCCTTCTGCACAGTTTCCTACCCAGGCGTAAATCGTCTGATGCATATATCATATACAGCCAGAATTCCAAAACGGATACAATCTCGTGATTTGAAATAGATATGTTCATATCGTATCTACATATGCTATGATATAATTAACTTACAATAAGTTAACGATGCCGCATAGTCTAACGTAGTGTACTTCATAGCTGCCGAAATAACAATAAAATCACTAAAAGTAATGTTAAGGTCGAGCCTGGTAATGAAACGAAAAGTAGAAATACATAGTTCTCTCTCGTTGAATTCGCTAATATTTGTGCTATTGCATAAGCGATCGCAGTTTCCGGCACGACGACGCACGTAGGAAGAGCCAATGGCGCTGTGATATCGATACTGAGTGAGGACTTCACCGCACCACTGGCGATGGCCGATGTCGGCTAACTAAACTCCCCGAGTACCGTAAAAACAGTGGCGGCAGAAACGGTTTCAAACGTGCCTATCCCTCAATCTTAATGGCCGCACAGCTGCGGCGGCAGCAATAGCAGGCCACAAACGTAAATACACAATTAGATAAATATCTCTTCTACTGAATCGCGGATTTCTGTTCGAAGTGTATGCTATGTCGACAGACAGGGGAGATCGGCAATTTATGACAGCATGGGAATTCAAGCACTCGCTCGTTGCATAGAAGTGAATCAGGTTGATTTAGCCAGCAGTAACAGAAACTACTTATGAGACGAACATATATGCATAGGTGGATTAAGTTCGGCTAGAATATTGAACCATTTTTAGATCGTTTGTCATGCCGCGTCTTTTTGTGCTTGAATAAAAAATAAGTCTACCAGTAAACGTGCGTATTTCTCATGCTTAGTCGAGTGCTATCAAGGCTGCCAGGCC